ATAGGCCTCCAGAGCGTTGAGAGCGTGCAGCGCCTGCTTGGCCTTGAGCACGTTGTCCTGCTCGGTGCTGTCGAGCAGCTCCGAGAGCTGCTTCAAGCGTGCATTGGCGGCGCGCAGACGCTCCTCGATCAGCTTGCAGCAGGCGTTTGGCTGCTGGGGATTCTTCTTGCTCTCGTGTTGTTCGCGCAGCTGATTCATTACCTTCGTGGAGGTGACCATCTCATCCGACATCGATTTCAGTTGGCCCTCTAGAGATTCAATCCGTTGCTCACGCAGCTCCAGCAGCTGAAAATTTATTGAGAGTCTTAGCTGAGAGTTGTGTAAAATTTTTTGGGCACTCACATGTCGTAGATGAGTTTCTTCCTGCCGGGGACTCTGCTTACTGCTGGACGTGGAGTCCGATGTGCTCTGACCTGACGTCGTCTGCTCTAACTTCTTGCGCATCTGTTCCAGTTCTTTGTCCTTTTTGTCCAGCTGCTGCCTCCAGCTGACCACTTGATTTTCATACTTATCCAGAAACTGACGCATTTCCAGATCCTGCTTCTCGCGCTCCTCCTCAAGGAAAGTGACGTTGCCCTCGAGACGTGCAATTTCCAGGCTCTGCTGCTGCTCCCGCTGCATTAGCGACTTTCGCTCCTGCTCCACCTTCGTGATGTCCTGCGAGAGCTGCTGCAGATTGGCCCTTATCTGCTGCAGCTCCTGCTCGTGCAGCACAATGGTCTTCGACTGGGCGATGTTCTGGTTCTGCAGCGTCTGCAAAGAAAAGCAGGCTGTTAATTGGAAATGCTTAGGCTGAAGGTGAAGTTAGTCTCATACGTCGATTTCTCGTAGAAGCCTTTTGATATGCTTGTTCTTCGTCTCGATGTTATGCAGCAGGTGCTCCTGCTTGTCCAGCTCGGAAAGTGGATCCGACGAGTCCTTGTCGCTGACGTCCGCCTGCTGCGCCGCCTGCCTCAGCTGCTCCTGCTGCTGCTTGATCTCCGCGGCCAGCTTTTGGTTAAACAAATATATTTTTGATTAGGCCAACAGACTGAGATTGAGTGAGCACTTACCTCCTTGTTCTTGTTCTTCAGTCCGTCGCGTTCGTTCTCCAGCTTCTGCACCATGCGCTTCAGCTTCTCGTTTTCATCCTGCAGGCGCTTCTCGTCGCTCTGCTCAAACTTCTGCGCCAGCTGCCCCTTGTACTCCAATACGGCCAGCGTCAGCTCCAGCGTCTTGCGCAGCGACTTCTTGGGCAGCTCCTCTATCGAGTCTGTCAGCTCCAGTAGCGTCTCATACAGCTCATGCTTCTGTCGCGGGGTGAACTCGCGGAACTTTCGCACAGATACAGTCTCTGGTATCTCCATGCTGGCTCATGCCTAATTCCGATTCGCGTCCCGTACAGCTTGCGTGCGTTTTGGCGGTTTGTTGCGTTCTGAGCGAATGAAAATTTTTCGATTCGATTTGCCACAAAGTGCTCACAGTGCTCACAGTGCTCACTTTTCATTATCCCAGTTCGATTTGCTTGGGCTCAGCTGTTGCCATGACAGCTGGGTCAAAACACACCAGCTCTGGCTCGGGCTCTGGCTGTGGCTTCTCGTTCGGATTTGGCTCGGACTCTCGGGGGTTGCTCCCTGATTCACGTGCTGGAAGTGAAGCGGAAACGGCACTGCCGCCGCTTCTGTAGCCACCCGCGTTTGTTTTTGTTGGCATTTTGTTTTGCTACCAGCTTCGGTTGCTTTACACACACACGCACACACACTCGCACACAAAGTTTTTTGACAGGATAATTGCTCCTACGAATGGGCATTGCCCCGCTTGGGGCCGCGTCGCGGCTATAAACAATTGCAGGTAACCAGGAAAGTGTTAATTGGCAAAGCGTCAGTGTCAGTGTCACTGTCAAGGCGAGCCGTGAATTGAAAAACCATTTCGAACTGTAAACTTACAGTCCAGACATTTCCTTTGCTCATCGACGTCTAACGGCTCTCTCTACTCACTCTCTCTCTCTGTTTATCCTTCTGTATGACAGGTCGTTGAGTTGGCGTAACAATAGCTGTACAGTTGTCAGATTTACATTTGTCCATTCATATAATTGAAACTAATGGCAAGCGACTTCGGTTACCCCCAATTTGTGGATTCCCGCCCTATGTGAACAGTCGCACTTGCCCGCAAAGCTCAAAAAATGAAATATTGTTTTACATGCCAATTATCACGAAACGTCTCGATTGCTTTTCTGCAATCATTAAACTTTTAGTCATCTATGTTGGAATATCGCAAAGCTGATGAGATCCGTTGCTTAAAGTGCTTAAAGCTCAACTTTTCCTGTTTTACTCTGAAATATTTTCTTAACCGAAAAGAATTAATTTAAGAATTTCGTCAAATGAAAGAGTATAAAGATAAAGAAAATTGTTCTTTGTTGTAAACATGACACAATGCGATCTATAGCCTTTCGCTAAATAATCGAATACGATTTTCTAATGAAAATATTATAATGCAAATTAAAAATATATAATAATAATTAAATATATGTATATAATATGTAAATAATATCAATAATATGTATATAATATCAAGAAATACATTATTTCTAACATTAGCACTAGAAATTGGGCTCAATTAATATCCATATATTTATATCTATAGAGCGATTTCTCTTATGGCGAATCCAGATGAATACATTAGGAAACTTTAACAAATAAGAACTTTGCAGTCGGGCGTTACCAACTGTAGAATACTTATTCACACCCCATCAGCAGTTTAGTAGCTAACTTTAGCTCTAATAATGTAGAAAACGAAGTTTTTCCCAATTTGCCACGCCCCTACTAGGCGTAGACACCTCATTTTTGGTCAGTTCTTAGAACGAGCTAAAGGTAGGCTAGCTGAAAAATTTTAGGAGGTAACTAGTAAGTCAGCTATCCGAACTTGAAGTTTCTACCTCTTAAACTGTAGGAGATATACACTTTTGCGGTTTGCCACGCCCCTACGGACGGACATATATCTGCCATAGCTCTTTGGTCTTGGGTGGTCAGCCCGAGTATATATACCAAATTTCAGCATCAATACTGGCCAAAATATAACAGAATTTTAAAAATCACTATATCTTCACGTCCGATTCGCCACGCCCCTATTGGGGGCGTCAATCTTTATAGAATCATAACATAAGCTCATTCAACATTCTAGCTTTAAAACTCTAGGAGATATAGTTTCATCCGATTTGTCACGCCCCCAATGTGCGTAGATAATTCCGCCATAGCTTGTTGACTTGGGTGTTCAACACGAATCTACATTCCAATTTTCAGCTTTCTAGCTCTTGAACTAGTAGGACTTCTGGCATAATGGGAAATACATTTTCGAATTTCCAATTTGCTACGCCCGAACACGAGTATGTGCGCCGAAATAAACTACTTTTATACGGACAGACAGACAGACGGACGGACAGCAAGACGGACGTGGCACAAAACCAATATACTCATTTCATTTTCGTGTATTAGTAAAAAAAACATTGTATGACAGTTAGAACTGCTTAACTCCGTCGGCTCTGTCAATTATCTGCGGATCACCTTGAAATAATATTTAACGCCCATTATGGGCGAGACCAAGTGAACAAAGAGCAAAATTTGCAAATAGCCTAACGAATTGTTTTCATGTTATTTATGTAAATACAGTTGGTGCCTTAATTGTCAGACCTCTCCAAGCTTCACATGCATCTTGCGAATAGTTCAATAATTATAATTTCAATCGTTAACTTAACTCGCTTAAATAAATGACTTAATTTATAATATATATGTGTATATGTACATACATATTCAGGCGCCCGCTTTAGATATGTATATGTATGTACTCACGTTCATGATTCATTCACAATGATACAGCACCGAATAGTCTCATATGTGGCTATATTTGTAGAAACACATTTTAGCACTTGTCACATAAGCTTCAACACGTCGACCTTGCCATGTTCGCTGTGCAGCTTCAACTGAGACAGAACTAGAATAGACAGCTGTATTTATACTACTTGAATCTCTTAACAAGTAAGATGGCTCCAGTCGAGACTGCTCGACTCGGAGATACCCTGAACCCTCTAAGCTGATATTCTACTCATTCTGCATTTATTTTAAGCACACATGCATCCACACGTACGTATAATAACGCGCTCTGCTGACAGCGCTTTGACTGCGCTGCAGTAAGGGCAATATTATGAGAATTTCTTTATGAAACTTTCAGAGCGTGATCATATGGTTACATTCAAAAGCACAAGTCTCTAGTACTTGAAATACGTTTTTTACAAATTGGGGGCGAAGGGGGCGTGGCATCCAAAACCTGTAAATTATAAAATCTTCGTATCGATATACTGTATATACACAGTAAATCTGAAGTCTCCTGGTCTGAAAGTGTTTAAATTAGGCTAAAAAACAAAATCAGTTTTTCGAATATTCTCGATAAAAAAGTTATCGGATGAGTTATCGAAAAATAGGACGTACGGCGTATGGTATACAAGAGTATGTATGGCAAATTTCAGCTCCCTAGCTCTTATATCTTCTGAGATCTCGGCGTTCATACGGACAGACGGACGGACAGACGGACGGACAGACAGACGGACAGGGCCAAATCGACTCAGCTCGTCGCCCTGATCAAGAATGTGGGGTCTGCCACGCCTTCTGCCTGTTACATACATTTCAACAAAACTGTTATACCCTGATTTCCCATTTTCAATGGGTTCGGGGTATAAAAAATAACAATAGCTATAATTACAAATAATTTAAATCAAAATAAGATGAAGTACTTGGCTTTCTTTTATGAACTAATAACATAAAATTTAAAATATATCACTTCTAAAAATTGTTTTGATATTAACTTGTCTCTGCAGATATCTGTGAGTCGGCCATTGAGACAATTTCCTAAAGAACAAATCATTCGATAGTAAAATTATTACATGGATAAAAATTAATGGAAATAGTTTAAACATATTCGAACAAAATAATTTATTGGAAACTTATAATGAAGAGCTCTTAAATAATTATCTTTCTTTTCTGTTTTGTGTAACTTTATCTCATATCTAATCAGCGCGCCTTCACCCACATATACTGGCTAGATCATCCTTGTTGTTCTTGGCATCCAATTGCAATAGCATAAACTCGTAGTAGACCAATGTCGTCATCATCTACAATAGATCTTACTTTGTTCTACGTATATTTGTAAAGGGAATCAAGGCCAACACTCACACCAAAGAGACTCCTGCGCGTCAGATGAAACAGACCCAAGCCGGAGAGTCCTATGTACTGACTGCCCAGCTGATGGCTGAAGCGCTGCACCTCTTCGGTCCAGTGGTCACTTGGCACCATGGAAAGGGCCCTCAGAGGCAGCAACGAAGCTTCGTTAATTTTGGAGGCGCAGATGAACACGGCGCAGGTGCGACTCAGCAAATAGAGCAAACTGTACCAGTAGTAGGCATAGTTGATGGGGTAATGGAGCTTACTGTAAGCCAAGTAAATAAATATTAGCTAAATACTTTTTAGAGTGAGTGTAAGCACTTACGTAAATATGGTCAGCAGCTTATTGCATATAAAGTAGATGTTGCTCAAGCAGGAGATCAAAACGATATTCGACATATTAGCCTCAACCAAATCCATGAGCTCACACAAGAGAATGTGATGCATGCGTATTTCATGCCATTCGGCATCAGGCACATACTGAGAGAAAGACAATTTACAGTGGGACAGCAAAATGAAAGATGTAACAAGATTGTTCTAGCCGTAACTGCCCAAGTAGGAGTGACCCTGAACCCTGATGCTGTCAACAAGTCTCTAGTATTTGAATTTGTTTGAGAAGTTAAAAGCCAGCCAGCCCCAGAAATATACAAAATAAGGGAGGACCCTGTACAATAAAGTCTCCAGCTCTAATGCTCTTAAAGCGAACATTCAGAACATTCATTGAAATCAAAGTATCGATTTTTATCGATTCTAAGACTTATCGAATTTCCTATAAGAAGATTATTATTTAATGTCAAGACTCTAGTGTTTTGGTCTATGAAATCGTTGCGTTCATATAGGCGAACAGACATTCAGACGGACGGACATGAATGATGAATGGTGGATCTGATTGGTTAATAATATAAATATATTTTTGTATAAAGTCCACCATGGCTAATGAAATCTAGTCAAACATATTTGCAAGAACGAATAATTGATCAACTTTGAAATAAATATAATGCTATTTTTTATGAACAAATGTGTATACAAAGGGTCAGGTCTTACCCGTTCGACGGCATCTAAAACACGGGTTGCCATCTGTTGAAACCGTTGGGATAAGCCAAGGCTTATCAAAATTATAAACGTATCCATGAAGTTGCAGATGAAAGTGAAAGTGCCATTCAGAAACTGCGAACAAACAACAACCAACAAACATTAGAATCATTTGAGTGATTGATTCAACGACATACAAAGGCATAGAATATAAAGATGGAATTGTAGGGCACCAATTCGAAAATATCGGCGAATTCCTTCAGCATATACTCCTTAAAGGGTATCAGAGTTACATTCGGTTGACATCTCATAATTTGTATTCGAAAATTGGAATAGCTCGATGCATAGTACAGCCAATGCTCAACTATGAAAAACACATTACAATCTTAAAGAGGTCCTTAATATTCTAGGTCAGGGGCTTACTCAGTGTCAAACATCCCAGCGAACATCCAGCGATAAGCAGCTTCCGTCGAAGACTATATTTCATTTTTGCATATGGCGGAAAGAGCATTATAATGTCTATACCGGTCCAGGGCACAATCAGACGAGACCAGCCACGTGCCAAAGAAATAAAGCTTACGCAGATTACCATTCCGCTCGTAAAGAACACGACGCTCACTGTTGAAGAATTGAAATTCATTAAGTATGATTGACTCCTAAACTGTCTTTTAGATATATTGTATATACATATTACAAAATTAAAGAAAGATATCGTAGCAACGGAGGTCCCTCCTCATAGATTTCGTGACTTACCCATGCTCTTGGCATTCAGGCCGCCTTGAATAAGCTTTGTTGCTAAGCGCATGGTTTTCACGCCTCCTAGCAGAAGAAACACCCCTGACAAGCAGGTGGCATAGGAGCGTAGCTGAAATTGAACCAGGTGAGGACTACGACTGAGCACATTTGCCAGCGGCATCATGCCAAACACCTGGGCCAGGCACAGATCTGAAAGAAGAACCGAGTGAGTTCTTGAAGTTCTTTCAAGTCGCAAAATATGCCCACATGGCCGTATGGCCCGATGGAATGTGTCCAGCTGCTCCAAGTCCGCAGCATTGCCAGCGCAGCGCCACTTTTTCTCAATTGCGGCGCGTTGCTGTCGCCGCTTCGCCTTCAACAGCCTCAAAATGTTTCGATCCCATTCGAACGGATGTTTAAGCACAGAGTGCCGCATGCTGACTAAGTGCCTAATCAAGCGCCATAAAAATGCACAGGTGTTTTTCTCATTAGCTCCTAATTATTGTTTACAACAACCAACTCCCACGCAGCGCGTGTTAACTGCGCTTTTAAACTGCAATTTCCCCTGGCCAGAGTGACCAGCAATTCTAAAAATACATTTCCCGGTTGAGGCCCGCATAGACGCAGGCGCTCCGGGTCAGTGCTCAAATGGCCAGCGACATGGACGGACAGGCCACTTGGAAATTACGCCCGAAAACCATGGCTAAAGGCACCCAGAATAAAAATTTAGACGAGGGCAATTTCGACTTTGGTATCATAAAGAGTGAGACAAGCACGGACTATGCTCAATTGGATTTATTTCATCGAGCAGCTTCTCCCAGTAAGTAACGTTATATATATATATATAAACCATATTGAATGCAATGGTAAAATATTTATCCGCTGAAACAAAATACTTTGCATAGCATGAAAATTCATGCCGTATCTGAGATGAATTGCTAACATTAGACAATTATACAAGATCTTTAACTTTTATGATTGTTTTTGCCATTTCCAAGGTCTTAAACTGGTTAATCAAACCTAATACACATTTAGGTTTGAGCTTTAGAACTAGTTAATTTACAGAGCATAAATACTCCATAGCTGTAGAGCTGTAGAGCTATGTTAAGAATATCATTCTTGGTACTTCTAAAAATATATATCCTCATCTGTTTAAATGCTTAGATGTTTTGGACTTGTCCGAACAGAATTAGTAATTGGGAAAATGCTTTTTTCGGTATCTCAGAAATTTTAAAATTCAAAGTGAAAAGACATCATAATTGGAGTTCAAGAAAACATAATTTATTGGATTCATCTAAGCTCAAAGCTGTATCTCCTACTTAATGCTAAAACTTGACAAACTCAAAGAATAACTTTTTATTGACCTCCTCTGTTACTTAGGTAGAGTCACTTGTCTTCAGTTGTATGAATGAGTACTATGCAGTCGGTAGCGGCACCGTTCCTTACCGTGCTATTCTTTTTCTCGTTTTTATAGTCATGCTACTGGCTCAGTGCTTTGCCATAATGCCACTGACTGGCATCAGGCGGGCAAGTCCGCGGCACGTGCATTTCCGCTTCAAATCGGTGCCGATGATTGTGACGGTGATATTCATGATGGCCAGCTCGGTGCTAACGCTAAGTATGCTGAAGTTTCTGCTCAACATAGGCGTTACAGCAAAGAATTTCGGTTGGTATTCGCAAAGGGGAGGAGGAGGAGGACTAAACTAGAAACTCATGTCATTTCGCTGTTGTTTAGTGGGTCAGGTGTTCTTCACCTGTGTGCAGTGCGCCTGCATTCTATTCATCGACTTGGCGCGCCGATGGCCGCCTCTGATTCGCTACTGGACGCGCCTGGAGCTAATCTTCACCAAGCCCCCCTACGAGGTGCTCAAGAGGAGCCTGTCACAGCGCGTGCGACAACCTGCATTTATTCTAATAGCCCTGTCGCTGGGTGAGATTCAGATAAAGAGCCAGCTCCTTTAATTTTCCTTCATAATGCGTTGTTTCTCCCATTTCAGTGGAGCATGGTTTGTATCTCTCCTCTGCCATTGTCAGCTATAAGCAGCGCGTCTACTACTGTACTGAAAATCACAATGCAACCATGGGTGTATCATTTGATGATTACATCAAATTGAACTATGACTATGTGTTTATACTACTGCCCTACACTAGATTTTTCGGCATCTATGTTTTGGTAAGATTTGAGGATAATATTCATCTATGCATTACTTTTTCTATAATATAATATAATATTATTATTTACTTTATATTTGCTACATTATAGTATGGGAAAGATTTAATTGCATGTTTGTGTTGATTAGGCTCCTAACTTACAGGATATTTTACTATGCAATTAGAGTCCTAGATTATCTTTGTTGAAAATAGGTTAAAGAATCATAAAGTAAACATTGATTATATAACTAAAAATGTAAAATAAGACTAAGATCTCAAGTTTCATGAAATAGTTTCCAATTGAGGATATAAATGACGTCTTAATCATAGACTGCATCAATATAATATAGACATTTTTCAGGCAATGCGTAAGAACCATATCCTTTTTCAAATGATGTTCGCTTTTCAAGTAGAGTGCTTAGAATGTATGATCATATAATCTCTTAGCCATCAGACCGAATCACACAGATTCTTACATTCTCTGAACTTCTGCAGGTGGTGAATGGCACCTGCACTTTCATATGGAACTACATGGATCTATTCATCATGATGATCAGCAGGGGCTTGGCCTATCGCTTCGAGCAGATTTCGAAGCGCATTTGCCGACTGGAGCATGAGGATCGTGTGCCAGAGACGACATTCATGGAGATCCGCGAGCACTACGTGCGCATGTGTGAGCTCCTGGAGCGCGTGGACGATGCTCTGTCCAGCATCATTTTGTTGTCCTGCGCAAACAATTTGTACTTTGTGTGCTGTCAGCTGCTCAACATATTCAAGTGAGTATTCGGAGTTTAATAATATGATCCGAGTTGAGGCAAAACTCTCCCCCCTTCTCATATGTCTAGTAAGTTACGCTGGCCCATCAACTATATCTACTTCTGGTACTCTATGCTCTACCTGGTGGGTCGCACGGCCTGCGTGTTCCTCACGGCAGCCACCATCAACGACGAGTCGAAGAGTGCGCTGAGCGTGCTGCGTCGCGTCTCCAGCAAGAATTGGTGCGTGGAGGTCGAGCGGCTCATATTCCAGATGTCCACGCAAACCGTTGCCTTGTCCGGCAAGAAATTCTATTTCCTAACCCGCAGGCTGCTCTTTGGGGTGCGTATAGCTCTAGTGCTTATTTTCCATTTCTAAATAACTGCCCTTCCATTCAGATGGCTGGCACTATAGTTACCTACGAGCTGGTGTTGCTGCAATTCGACGAGCCCAACCGCCGCAAGGGCTTGCTGCCCCTGTGCGCCTGAATGGAAATGGCAACGGCAATTACGATTTGTCATGCCGGCTGACAGTCGGCCACATTTATCTTTCAATTACTGTAAATACTAGCTGCTAAATTGTTGAATTCAAAAAAAGACAAGGAAACCCAGACACGCCTCCACTCATTGCCTGCACCTAAAGCTTCCGCGGAATGTGTGTACAGTCAGTAAACGACCATGCCGCAGGGTGAAACGTTCTATCGCGCTGTCTCTCAAGGTAGGCGTCTGCTCCTGCTGCGGCTGCGACTTGGCCAGAGATAAGCGTGGTTTAATTTACCCATTTCGCAGTGCTCTTCATATCACAGGCTTATGCTCTGCTGCCCGTGAGTAATATACGCTCCGTCGATGTAAACAAGATTCGATTCAACTGGCGGAGTCCACGCGTAATTTACTCGGCCACCATTTTCCTACTCAACCTGTGCGAATTCGGTGCCGTCTTGAATTATGTCAGCAGCGTCGGCGTCACCTTTCACACGTCCAGCTCGCTGGCGCTCTACATCGTGTGCCTGCTGGAGCACCTGTTCTTCTGGAGGTTGGCGTTCAACTGGCACAGCATCATGCGACACTGGCACCGCGTGGAGCAGCTGTTCCTCAGCGTGCCCTATCGCTTCTACGGCGAGTACAACATGAAGCGGCGCATCAATATTGTTGTGGGTCTCGTTATGTCATCTGCACTGGGTGAGCTAGCGATGGAGTAGATGCGCATAGGTATAGCAATTTGTTGTTACAGTGGAGCACTGCCTGCTGCTGGCCAACTCCTTCCACCTGAGCAATCTGGAGCGCACGCAATGCAACATTAATGTCAGCTACCTGGAGAGCATCTACAAGTGGGAACGACCGCATCTCTACAAAGTACTGCCCTACCACGTCTGGCTGCTGCCTCTGCTTGAGGTGATTCTCTCGAGTGGCAGTGCGTGGCGCGGACTCACTTATGGTTTACTTGCAGTGGGTCAATGAGACCATTGCCTATCCGCGCTCCTTCACCGACTGTTTCCTCATGTGCATTGGCATCGGGCTGGCTGCGCGCTTCCACCAGCTGCACCGCCGCATTGCCGCCGTGCACCGCAAGGTGATGCCTGCCGTATTCTGGACAGAGGTGCGGCAGCATTACTTGGCCCTGAAGCGTCTAGTGCGCCTGCTGGACTCGGCTGTAGCTCCTCTCATACTCTTGGCCTTTGGCAATAACATGTCATTCATATGCTTTCAGTTGTTCAATACTTTCAAGTGAGTTAATGAGGAATCCTCTAGCTAGACTTATTATTTATTTGCAAACAGAAATATCGGTGTGGATCTCATTGTCATGGTAGCCTTCTGGTATTCGCTAATCTTTGCTATTATCCGCACAACTCTGACCATATTTATCACCTCCTCAATAAACGATTTCGAGCAGAAAATCATTACCGATCTTCGTGATGTGCCCTCAAAGGCGTGGACCCCAGAGGTAATCTTAATACCATTTATCGAATCTCCTCTTTGATAGTTTTTTGCGGCGAGCAGGTTCAGCGCTTCAGCGAACAGCTAGGCAACGATATGACCGCCTTATCGGGCAATGGATTCTTCTATGTGACCCGGCAACTCATTCTGTCTGTAAGTGAAGGAGTAGGTCATTCCAATTTCTGTAGGCTTACAGACTCTTTGCTTTGCAGATGACCACAACGATTATCACTTATGAGCTCATGATATCGGATGTAATTAACCAGGCAACAATAAGGCAAAAAACCGTCTACTGCTGAAATTTAATCAAATTCGCTCTCAGTCCCTTTCCCTATTTGGTTTCCCCACTGAGAGAATGTACCACGAGATTTATATTAGTGATAAGCTAGCAAACACTCAGAAGCAGTTTGAAATGTCATGCCTGTCCATTCAGATCTTAACAGCAAATACATTAGTAAACATCCGTCATACGCCCCGTTGCACACATTCGCTTGATGATTGCAATCGCCGCAGAGCTGAACGAATCTTTTTTCGCATGTCCACTTGCCAGTCCAGTAAACAGTCAAGAAATGGAGCAACGCCGACAGAGGTGCAATAAAAACACGCTCCAGCACGCCATTGGGCCCTGTAAGTAGCACTCTATGGAACTAGCATTTTCAAATAAAATACTGCTTATACTAAGTGTTTAATTGAAGGTTAGTTTAATCAACTATGGGCATGACACATTCTTTTGATATAGACTACCAAATTACTATGTACTACCAAGTTACAATATAATAACTGCATTCACTAGAACTAATGTTTGAATTTCAGGATTAATCAGAAATTAGAGAAACACTGACTGTAAAATTGAATGAACTGTTTGTGTATTCAAATATATCACAAAATTTATCTGTCAAGTTTCTTTCTTCTATCATCATATCATTGCCAAAAGGGAATACGAAAAGAAAATCACACACTAAATCTAAACCTAAATAATATCTTCGTTTTATTTATATAGATCTTAATTTTGAAAGGTATTATTTACGATAACTTTTTAATTTATAGTAAATTCAAATTAAGTATTTGCATCCCATAATTTCCCATCTTGCATGAACGGAATACGGCAACAATTGTCAGAAATGGGCTTTTAACTCCTTTGTTGAGTAAAAGCCAAGTAATAAGTGTTTATAATTGAAAAACCAAATATGGGCTCAGCCTTTAAAAGCTAAATTCACAGGAGTTTTTATAATAATAATATAATATTTAAAAAAGATATTTCATACATTTTTAAAACGACATTTTTATTTTATTTAATGTGAACAAAATAAAATAATAGTACTTTATATGTTATTTAAAGTTATTAACTTTAAATTAAAAGGAAAAAAAAAGTAAATATAAAGTAGTTTATTCAATAACAATAAACTGAATATAAGAATTAAATTAATAATAATAATAATAAAACATTCTTTAAACACAATAATAATAATAATCTATATATTCCCATAATAATATCTCGCAATATTACTCTATATATTCTCCCTAGCTCTGGGAATAAAAGATTCTTAAAACATACATACCTAATAATAGTCTTAATATTATCATAATAATAAATCGTAATATTACTCTATATGTTCACTAATTGCCTTCTCTAGTTCTGGTTCTGTCGCAGTTTCTTGGCGTGTTTCCCGTGTCCGGTGTCTGGCCCAGCTCGCCCGCTGAGAATGTACGCTTTCGCTGGTTTTCGGCGTCGCTGGTGCTCAGTGTCGTCATATTGGCCTTTGCCATCATGGATCTCGGACTCTCCTCTAAAGTGGTGATTGATCAGGGGCTTAAGATCTACACTATAGGTAGGATTACCATTAATCCTATTTCCTTTATCCCTGCCTCTATCTTACTATTTCGAATCGCATTAGGTTCTCTAAGCTTTAGCGTGATTTGCATTGCCTGTTTGTCCATTTTCCTGTCTCTGTCGCATCGATGGCCGTACCTCATCCGGCGGACTGCGCAGTGCGAGTTGGTCTTCTTGCAGCCCGACTACGATTGCCATTTGGGTCGGCAATTCGGACGCCGCTTGCGCCTCTGGGGCGTGGGCATGCTGCTGGCCGCCCTCTGCGAGCACTTCACGTACGTGGGTAGCGCCCTGTATGGCAACTATCAACAGATACACGAGTGCAAGCTGGACGTGGACTTCTGGCTGAACTACTTTCAGCGGGAGCGACAGGAGCTCTTTTCGGTGTTTCAGTTCAATGTGCCGCAGGCGCTCTTCATTGAGTGGACCACTCTGGCCATGACCTTCGTGTGGAACTTCGTGGACATATTCCTGACCCTGATCTCTCGCGGCCTGCAGTTCCGCTTCCAGCAGATGCACTGGCGCATACGGCGCCACTCCACCCAGCCGATGCCCAGCGAGTTCTGGGAGCAGCTGCGCTACGATCTGCTGGACCTTTGCGATTTGCTAAGGCTGTACGACAAGGAACTCTCTGGCATGGTGGTTCTCGCCTGTTCCCACAACATGTACTTCGTCTGTGTGCAGATCTATCACAGCTTTAAGTAATGGCCAAATTCGTTTTTTGACATTCGTCTTCAAATATTTCATAAGCCATTTTCGTGTACTTGTGCAGGGCGAGGGGCAACTTCATGGATGAGCTGTACTTTTGGTTCTGCCTGATTTACGTGATAGCTCGCGTGTCCAACATGATGTTTGCTGCCTCTTCGATTCCCCAAGAGACTCGGCAGATATCGTACACCCTCTTTGAAATACCAACGGAATACTGGTGCCTGGAGCTGAGGCGGATACAGGAGATCATATTGACAAACCGATTTGCCCTGAGTGGAAAAGGGTATTTCTTTTTAACCAGACGCCTCATTTTTTCGGTGAGCGTTGCCCAGCCTTTTGGCCCTTATTTATCCTCTCCCTCTTGCAGATGGCCGCCACGCTGATGGTCTACGAGCTGGTGCTAATCAATCAAATGAGTGGCTCCGAGGTGCAGACGAGCATTTGCAGCCGAGGCGCTGGCGGCTCCAAGAGCATATTCTATTCATAGTCGTGCACCAAATTGCTGTACATAAATTATAAGCCTGTCACCGACAGCAATTTGCAATTTGCAATTCGCAGTTTACCATTTGCACACAGATTGTAAACAGATAGGCAAACAGATATTCAATTGGCCGGGCTGGCAGTAAAGAGAAACCCACCTTTCAGTTGTTGACTTTGACTACTCGGGCACAGAACATGGCCAGGACTGTGGGTGATGCGACGAGGCGTCGCAAAAGCTTGAGCCTAATCAATTTCTGGCGTGGGGCACGCGTTGACTGCGAGTAAGTGGGAAGCCTAATAAAGTCATCTGTGTCGAGAATTGACTGTAGCTCCAATTCAAATAGCGCGCAATCGAATGCGGCTTTTAATCAAAAGCTGAATTTTCGAGCAAAACGTAGACAAAATGCCGAAAAATTCGTTCCACACAAGGTCAAGCGAATCCTTCAACGCGCTGATAGAGAAAGCTATGTGCACAATGGCTCATTTCTAGAGGCCATCAAGCCAGGTAACTATAAAACTGAGAAAATCTGAGCAAGAGAATCATATTTGTAAACAGAGATAATGTCATAAGTATGTACATAGGTAGGTCTTATAAATATATAGGCAAAGAAGTACGAGAGTTCTGGATTCTCATTGGGAAGTGCCCGAATTAGGGCTGAATAAAGGGAGTGTTATCAGATAATAAAGCATTATAGACAATAAAGAATTACCGTTTTCAATGCTTTCAGAAGAGTTTAGTCTAATATTAAATGGAAAACAAAAGAAAAGATTCTTGAATTTAAAAAATCAATGATATATTCTATGTTAATCATAGATCCTGAATTAGTGATAGTATGGAATTTGAATTTGATCTCTAATAGACAATATTGTGTTTTTCAATTGTTAAATAAATTTCTGAAATTAATATTATAGATTTAAAGGACGTAATCTTGTTAGTCTCTCAGTAAAGTTATAGTTCCAGTATTGATATTGATATTCACACAGTAGGTAATAGAGATAGTATTTATATTTAACACAGTGTTATCTATTTAGGTTCGTCTTATGAACTATAAATATATATTTATTTACATTTATCATTTCTAATAATCGTTAATCTATAATCCAATATCAACAACCTTTTCCCACTCTGCTTTATAGTGTTGATCATCGCTCAAATCTTTGCGCTGATGCCTGTGAGAGGCATTTCGTCAAAGTACGCCGAGGACTTGAGCTTTCGCTGGCAGAGCTTTCGGTCCTATTATTCCCTAATTGTGATTGTATTGTTTGGCATTTCGTCTGGGTTTAATGCGATGTTTGTGATACTCGTGAACTTCGACTTTGATTCGGTGGAAACGCTCATCTTCTACGCCTCCATATTTGCCATCTCGGTGGCCTTCTTCCAGCTGGCCATGAAATGGCCATCGGTGGTTTTGGAGTGGCAAATGGTCGAGTCCCAGCTGCCAATGCTGCGTACAGAGCGCGAACGTGCTGCATTGGCCTCGCACATCCGTATGATTATTATGATAGCCATAGGGTGCTCGTTGGGTACGTAGTTGCCATACAGTCAGCCAGATCCTCCACACTAGATCCTGACACGATCCGTCCTCTTTGTTGCAGTGGAGCACCTGCTGAGCATGCTGTCCAGCTTGTACTATGTGAACGCGTGTCCCGTTATGCCGAATCAGCCCATCAACAGCTACTTGCTCATCAACTTTTCCATGTTTTTCCACTTCGTCGACTACACTCCGCTTCTGGGATTAATTGGGAAAGTGATCAATGTGCTGGCCACTTTTGCCTGGAGCTTCAACGATATTTTCGTGATGGCCGTCAGCGTTTCTCTAGCGGCACGATTCCGGCAGCTAAACGATCATATGCTCCGTGAAGCTCGATTGGTAGGCAACCAAAGGAATGTTGAATATATAAACATGCAGACAGATACTTTCGATTCCAATTTTCTTTTCAGCCGACTAGTGTTGAGTTCTGGATACAAAATCGGATTAGCTTTCGCAATCTCTGCAAGCTGTGCACCGTCGTGGATGATGCCATATCAGCTATAACGCTGCTCTGCTTTAGCAACAATCTGTATTTTATATGCGGCAAAATTTTAAAGAGCCTGCAGTAGGTTAGCCCCAAGACGAGCCAATCAACAGCCCATAATCAGTTTTCATGTATTCGCTGTAGGAAGAAACCTTCTGCATCGCACACAGCATATTTCTGGTTCTCGCTGAGCTACTTGCTGAGTCGCACTCTGATACTCTCGCTTTATAGCGCCAGTGTCAATGATGAGTCCAAGCGACCTTTGGCCATCTTTCAACTGGTGCCAAGGCCCTACTGGTGCACTGAGGTATATACTATACTATACTATACTATACTGTTCCACTTCCAGAGATATATCCTAATTTTGAGTTTACAGCTAAAGCGCTTCTCGGAGGAGGTTCACATGGACCAGGTGGCCCTAACGGGCCTGAAGCTCTTTCGACTGACCCGAGGCGTTGTCATAGCGGTATGAACTTGCATCCATCGGAAATGCTGTCAAATCTGTTTACAAACTCAATGTGACGCAGGTGGCTGGCACGATTGTGACCTACGAGCTGATATTGCTGCAATTCAACAAGGAGGACAAAGTTAATGACTGCTATGAGCACTGAGCTCGGGCGAGCTACACCCAATTTGTACTTTATTTGTATATGTCACGATAAACTATCAATTATAGATTAGTGCAAAACAACAGGTGTTTTTAATGATAGGTCACGCGCCGAATAAATTGACTTGCCAGTGCAGAGCCCATTTGTCTTTTGGCTGCGGCCCCAACATGAGGTTCCTGCCCAAGCTGGAGCGTAAGTTTCGACGCTGGAAAAAGCTAAAGAAGCCACCATTATTGCGTAAGCTGGATACACTCTTCAAAAGGTACTTGAAGGCGGTACAGATAAACATAGATAGACTAAGCTTTAAATATTATTTAGTGCGCATAAAGGACATCGTCCAGAGGACAGTGCCAAGCGGGTGCAAAAGGGAAATGGCAAGGATGTCAAAAATGGTATAATATAGTATATACAGACATCAAATATCGATACAACCTGCATTGAGCCGAAACTGTTCGACCAGGGCAGATTTCACTGTTTTTTTGTTTAATATTATTATTACTATTTTGTTTAATATTCAGAGCTGAGCTACAAATCACGTGAACAATTTATGTACAACGGCAGTTTCCATGAGGCAGTTGGCTCGGTCCTGCTGACCGCCCAGTGCTTTGCCATGATGCCGGTGCGAGGAGTCACGGCCAAGCATCCGAGCAGCTTGAGGTTCTCGTGGCGCTACGTGCGCACCTGCTGCTGCCTGTTGTTCATGGCGTCCATGCTGATCAATCTTAGCTTGACCATTTACAAAGTGCTGCATGGCTCGATAACATTCAACTCGATCCGACCCTTGATCTTCAAGAGCTGCATTTTCTTGGTGTGCGGCAAAGCTCTTAGCTTGGCGCGGCAGTGGCCCGAGCTGATGATGAAGTGGTACCAGATCGAAAAGGATCTACCACAGTATCAGACGCAGTTCGAGAAGAGGCGCATGGCTCAGACCATCAGAATGGTCATGCTCGTGGGAATGATGTTGTCCTTTGGTAGGATTATAACTTGAATCCAATTGAAAGTGAATAGCTTATTTTGATTGGTTCTTCAGCGGAACATTTGCTGAGCATTGTCTCGGCCATTAATTATGCTGAGTTTTGCAGTCGCACGGATGATCCCATACGGAACTTCTTCGAGCTGACCAACGATGAGATCTTTTATGCTCTGAACTACTCCGCACCGCTTGCCCTGTGGGGCAAGCTACAAAACGTTTACTCGACCTTCATATGGAACTATATGGATATACTGGTTATGATAGTGAGCATCGGCTTGGCGTCCAAATTTCGCCAACTCAATGATAATTTGCTTAGGTTCAAGGGCCTCGTAAGTTTCTTTTATTTCCTTTTCTTATTTAGTTCACATTTAGTTCTATTCTTTCAGCATATGGCTGCGGCTTACTGGTCTGAGCGGCGTATACAATATCGGAATATATGCACGCTATGCAGCACCATGGATGACGCCATATCCTTTATCACTATAATATCCTTTTCCAACAATCTGTACTTCATATGTGTCCAACTACTGCGGAGTCTCAAGTACGTACATGCATCTAAGATATTCTCAGGGAAGATATTTAATGTTTAAAATATGAAGTATGCAACTCCAAACTGACTCCTATATGTATAGGATTATGTATATTTCAAGTATTAGCCAGAAACTTTTTTCTTAGTTTAGTATATGTATATATACTTTTACTATCTTCTGCACGTTTATATAATCTTCCGACCGTTTCAGTTTTAGTATTGTTACCAAGTAAGAATGTTGCCGTCGAACGCTACCAGAATAATCACGGTCAAAACGACGTCAGCTCCGTTTTCCGATTTGCAACGTCGGCAATTGGAATATTATATATGTATATACTATATGTATAAAAGTTCTTGGCAAATCGATAGAGGAAGACAATATTAATTGAGCCATTTAACTTTGAGTTTCTTCCTGTAAAACTATATAAAATTCTCTTTAACCCAGCCTTATATAGTGCCTACAGGGGTGTATACATTCCAAATTTCAGTTCTCTACAACTTCAACTAATATGATTTGTGACACACCGGAAAGTATGTTTTCCACGCTCCTACTGACATCCACTGCCTTGTTACGACATCAGACGGCGGCACTTATGAATATACTTATATATATTTTTTCAAGATTCCTCGCTAACGGCGAGTTGGTTCACGTTCATATAGACTCATACAGAGTCAAGAGCCCAACCTTTAATAATTTCGGATACAAAAATTTTCTTTTGGCTTTGTATAAATATAGCGATTAAAACAAAATTTAATGACTTGTTAACCCAATGCTTCAAAGTCTTCGGATCACAGCACCTCATATTTTGGAGATATTTTTTACTTTCTGTTCTTCTATACTCTATGTCTCTCATTAATCCGCAGCACCATGCCCTCGGTAGCTCATACGGTGTACTTTTACTTCTCGCTCTTCTTTCTGATTGGACGCACCTTGGCTGTCTCTTTATATGCGGCCAGCGTGCATGACGAGTCGCGTCGTCCGCTGCGGTATTTGCGCTGCGTGCCAAAGGAGTCCTGGTGTCCGGAAGCCATGCGATTCGCCGAAGAAATTACGAGTGACATGGTGGCCCTGAGTGGGATGAAGTTCTTCAATTTGACACGTAAACTGGTGCTGAGTGTTAGTATCTGACGCAGATCAGGAAGAAGTCTGATTCGAGTTGATATTGATATGTTCTTCATCAGGTGGCTGGCACCATCGTCACATATGAGTTGGTGCTGATTCAGTTCCACGAGGATCAGGATCTGTGGACTTGCGACCAGAGCACCTATTCGTAGAAACTTAACAGAAGCTCGCATAATAAATCCATTGGAAAATTGTGTTTTGCACTTTTATTATCGTTTAAGCAATAAGGAAACCAACAAAAGATCGCTCCTTAATATCAATCGGTTACATGCTTAACTAATTACACAACTACGTTCTTATGCTCATGTACGTGTATGTGAGATTGTAGATTGTTAAATATCAAATATTCTTTTTGTTTTCCTTTTAATACAATGGTCACTAGTTCACTTACGGTCTAATCTTCTAATGTGTGGGCTAGGGGGCGAGTAGTGACTGGCATGGGATCTGCTTTCTGCATTCGGGATCGGTGTTTTTGGTGCTTTTGGTTGATAACGATTTCGGTGTACAATGCCATCGATGCAAAAGCTTCACACACAAAATTCAGCTAAACAATTTCAATTAGAAACTCGCTTAATATTAAATTCCGTTGAGTTTGGGCTCATTACATTCGTAATAATTCATAATAGTATTTTGCTACGACAAAGAAGGTAACATGTACGGAAGTCTGGTGGTTTTTAGTTGCTTATTTGCATGTTAACATTGTTTAAAAAACCAGGCCTTAGGTATGTATGTATATGTATTGTGGATTGTACGATTGATTATGTTTATATGTATAAATATAAGGAACTAAAGCGGAAGCTACATGATTATTAATAAGTATGCATTAGTGATTGCGCTTGTGTAAGTGTATGTGTGTATGTATATATTGTTGTGGAGTTTAGTCCTATTTCCTACTTATGTGAGTTTACTGCTGCTGGTAAAAGCAATCAAAAACTTGTTCGATGTTTGTTGAACGCCGCGTATTAAATTACATAGCACATAGCGAGTTAGAGTACATGGGTTGAGAAAGCAAAATCAAAAGTATCACATAGATTGAGATCTTAAATTAAAGCATAGCAAGAGATTAAATAAATACGAGACTGAGAGCAAATATTATATCAAATAGGTCTAACAAGGAATGCGAAAACACAAATGCGAGCGGGTGTAAATGTTGCGTTGCGAGTGAATCAAGTCTGAGCTAGCAGTTATTCAATAATTTGAGTGGTTCGAGTGTGCAGCTCAATGTCGCTTGGCATCGTATTGCTTAACCTTCTCGGGGATGGCTGCCTTTTCCACAGCCACGTGCAGGCCCAGTTCCTCCAGAGACTTAACATAAATGAGCTTACGCCAAAACTTTGTGCTGTTGCGAAAAAATCAACAATTTATAGTAAGTGATAATCTAGCTAAAAGGTTTACATACCTGACAAATGGCCGAGCCATCCATACCAAAGACTTTATCCAAAAAGTGGGATGCACCAAATACATGTGCTTCAGACTCTTGCGCAGGCGGCGATCGAGCAGTTGATAGCAACTACAAAATAATAATAATAATAAAATAAAAAATAAAATAAAATAATAAAATTCAAATATTATTCAAATGAAAACTATTTTGAGAACTCACCGTTTGAGCCATGGAAACGGCGGCACATTACGTCTACTGGATCCGCCGTGCAGATAGATGAGCACATAGTCATCCGTGACTAGCTGTTCCAGCGTCTTCACTACATACAAAAAAAGATTGTCCATGACGTAGCTATAGTCGGCACGGGATCTGTCCGGCAAATGGCAGGCGCAGAATATAACGATAGCATTCTGACCGCCAGCCTTCAAGTAACCACCATGGGATAGCACACGCTTGTAAGGTTCAATGACGCGCATGTCGATCTCTCGGGTGCGTCCATCTGGCAGCGTGATCTTCTGCCAATTGCGGGAGTCGCGACGCTCCTCATCAGCCGTATATTGCGGCAACTCTGAAGCAGTTGCACCCGTATCTGCTGAGGCTGCCACTCCGGCGGGGGCATGTGGCGTGGGCGTGGTTGCCATGCCAAACTCATCCAGGTCGTCATCGTTGTCGGGCAGCAGCTCGGGGCCTTCGCAGTCGTCATCATCGTCGTCCTCACCATCCAGGCCATCGATCAGCGAACTGGATGGACTCAGGGAGGCCAAATTGTGCTCTATGTCTTCGTCATCGTCAAAACTGTGATTTGATATGGAGTCCAAGCTGGAAATATCCTCACCGCCAGCTGCGGCCGAGCGTTTTGCTCTTCGCGACGCTTTGTTATTCGCATTGGGCAGCAACGAAACCGATTGAAAATTTGACTCAACAGCAGCCAAATACTGCGACACATCGACATCTGACTCACTGCTCAGCAGGTCTGGGCTATTTGCCCGCAGCAGACTGACTTTCGCGTCTTGAGGCTTGACCCGCATGTTGTTTTGTTGATTCAACGTATTTCGTACAGCTTCCGTTGTGGTCTGCTCGGTGCGAGGCACTACATCGGGAAAATTCTTGCACTTGCCTTGAAAAGGCTCCGAGTCAGAGTCAGTGTTAGTAGGCGACATAAGCGGGTGACTGTTCGCCAGTGTCAGCGTGCGTTCTGTTATTTGTCGTTGTGGCATCGTTTCGACTGGCAGCAGCAACTCTGGCCGTATTATTCGGTTGTCTAACATTGACGTATTTTTGTTTTCGTTATTCTCCCGCTCGACTTCGATATTCGATTTGTTTGGCATCGTAGCATTGGCACGCTCATCGGCCAACGGCGACACTCCCGTGGAGTCCGTAGGCGTCTCCGAGATGTCCATTTTGCTCTCGGATTGTGATGATTCCGACTCCGCGTAGTGACAACTACAAGCACAATCGATTAGTCATCCCATTCGTCGTTGTAATTGCAATGCGCGCTTACCTCATTGTATTGTAGCGCTTGGTAAAGCTTTTGCGAATTGTTAGCAATACTGAAATGCTTTAATGCACTTAATAATGCAGCGCATTTTTAAGGATAGACATCACATTATTATCTTATTATCAAGTTTCACATCACTACTTTGTTAGCAAACTTAGGGCTGCAGTACAAACATTGAATATATCGGGCACACTTTTTACTTTCGTGACGACACATATCGATAGTATTGCAGCAATTAACAGAGATGCGATGTTACCAAATTGAACTCGTTTATTAAATTAAATTTTAAATTATTATATAAATAAATATTTGACCATACATTTGTCTGATATACTTACTCCAAATGCACACGATTTTTTACCTAATATGAATAATATACGAGTTTCATTAACTGAGGAGTACCTATGTTAAAAACAACTTTATAATGTTATGTGGTGCTGCCACTATGCAGAATATCGTGATACGATGGCTGTGACTTATCGAATAGTTGGTATATATCGATTTGTCACAGCATTACTTGTGCATTGTGCGTCGCAAACGAAAAACAAAAAATATTGCTCAAAATAGCTATGGAAAACACGCAATTACCCATAACAATATCCAACACTGCAACGTCTACTAGTGTAAATACAACAATGGCGCCTGCGGTTGCTTCCCATGCAATTGACGTCCCTGCCACTGTCAGTGTGTCATCGACATCTGTCAACACTTGCGCAGCCCCAGCACCAACAACAACAGTGTCGACAACAACAACAGCAACGCATTTGAGTAAAACTCCAATTCACAATTTGCCGATAGAGTTGCTACAAAACGACGCAGCAAAGCGTCGAAGGTGAGTTTGACATTTTAAGCTAACTGTAAACTGTCACTAACTTCAATTTCTTGTTAGCTCCTCACGCACTATAAAACGTAAACGTTTTGACGACGAAATTGTAGAATACAATCTTACAATACCAACGAACCGTAGCGCTGCCGATGCGAACCGCTCAAATCGACCACGGACAACATCTCAGAATTATTCTGGAATTGTTACGACACCAACGTTGCAGCAATCACCCGGCCCAATTGCAGTTGCTACTGCCGCTGCACCTGAAGCGACTCACACACCTGGCGCTACAGTGGACACTGTACCCGGTGCCCCGAGCATAGTGACTTCTTCAACGCCTGCGACACTTTCAACGCCAGCCGCGTCCACCTTGCCGTTGCCAACAATTCATAATCCTGTGCAGCAACCGCAATCGAAGGCGAAGCCTGCGATGGATCGTGCAGTAGCTCCTGAACGTCGTCCACGTCCATCTCGTCCAGCGAGCAACAAAAAGCCCCGTCGCAATGCTCGCCCTCTTGCACAATTGGCCATCAAGGATTTGGGCCGCTGGAAGCCAATCGATGACCTAGCCCTTGTTATTGGTATACAGCAAACCAACGACCTCCGCATGATACATCGGGGCGTCAAATTCTCCTGTAAATTTACTCTGCAAGAGTTGCAGCAGCGCTGGTACGCCCTGCTGTATGAGCCATCCGTATCACGGATTGCCGTGTCGGCCATGCGTAATCTGCATCCCGAGATGGTGGAGTCTGTACAGCGGAAGGCGCTGTACAGCGTGCAGGAGGAGGACCTTCTAGGCACTATAAAGAGCGTAAGTAGTTAGCTCTCATTTTGCATTTGATGAGACTAATCCAATATTATTTCTCAATTAGTCGGAGACCCCGAAGCTGGAGCAGTTTCAGGAGCTGCTGGACAAGAATCCCTCCACATTCTATTGCGCACGCACTGCTAAATCCCTGCACAATCACTGGCTGCTGCTCAAGCAATATTGCCTGCTTCCGGATCAATCGATAAAGCCAGTGCAGGGTACCGATCAACCGCTCAGCTTTTCAGATGCTGAGGATCAGTTGTTCGATCAAGACCTGCAGGAGCCGCGTGATGAGGCATTGGAAATTGAACTGACTCTGGCCGATCGGCGCAACAAACGCGACATCCGTCTGCTAGAGAATGAGCTCTCGCGCTGGGGCGTGCTGGTTGACTCAGTGCTCGGACCCACGGCAGCCAGTGAGTTCGATAACCAAACGCTTGCCTGCTTATGCGGACGTCTTGTGCGTTATTTGATGCGCTCTAAGGAGATAACATTCGGTCGCGAGGCCAAGGAATGTGGCGTAGATGTGGATCTTTCCCTGGAGGGGCCCGCTGCAAAGATTTCGCGGCGCCAAGGCACCATCAAAATGCGCAGCAACGGCGACTTCTTCATAGCCAACGAGGGCAAGCGCGCCATCTTCATCGATGGTACACCTTTGCTGAATGGTAACAAGACGCGATT